TGGCATTGTTAAAATATGTTTTTGCCTTTTCTTTGAATGATGATAAATATTGGCTGTGCTTTAAGCTTCTTTCTTGAATTCTTATGCTATGTAAGCATTTAAAATTCAACTGACTTATTCTTTTAAACTGAGAATAATTTGTATCTCTTTACACTACCATTCCTGTTTTTTACAGTTTTATAAATAATTTTTGCTGCTTTCCTCATATTATTGACCTTACAAATGAACAGTTTCTTACAATATGCTTCTCCCATGCCCATTTTATACGGATTGCTCTTTGCAACTAATTTAATACCATATTCAAATATTAATCTTACTATATTCAAAGATCATTGCAAAAGAGATCAAGTATATTAGATGTCATGCACTGCATGTAATAAAAAATTTACAAAAATTGTGTTTTAAATAAGCACTTTCTGTAACCGACAAATATATATTTTTTCTTTTCGAGTTATAAAAAATGAACATGCGCATAATGAACGAAATAGTAGGAGATGAATTATCAGGTTATGGAAATTTTAACATAAAATTTTTGCTACAGAAAGACAGCATGCGTAAAATTAGTTTATCATAATTAAGTGATTTAAAATATTTTGCTTCCTGCTTGAATAAATAAAGTAAACAGAAACACTAAAATATATAAGTACAATTTATTTGTTACTCATTAATCATATATTGTTCACGAATTCTTTTAATATATTAGTCACTAGTTCTATTATAATAAGCTAGAAAATTACTTAAATTAATTGGAGGAAAGCAAAACCATGCATTGTTATCACCTATTTCAAGGCAGACTAAAAACTAAAACTACGTAATTTAAGATTTCTTGTAATATTTATATCCATATTTGTCTCTGCAACTATGTTTCCAAGGTATAAGTATACGCCCATTTATTTATGCTTTCAAACTCTTTCAGCGGAACAGAAATCGATTTTTTTAAGAAAAACTTCTTAACCTAGTGCAGGTGCAAAATCAAACGAATGAATAAAAACCAGTTTCTTGCTGTTTGTTCAGCTGATCCTTTAAGATAAGAACTTGCTCTTCGTATGTACTTTCGATTTGAGATCTTGGTAATAACCTTAGACTTCTATAGGAAATTGTCACATCAAGCTTTCTGGTCTGAAAGGTTTGAAATATTTGACTTGAACCTAATACGACCGTATCTTTTTTCAATCCACTTGGAGAAAAAAAAGCTAAAAGGGTTTGAATCTTTTCCTTAGAGATGACTTATATAAATTCAATTTCCGAAATACTATGATTTTGAGAATACTTTTTAAACTTCCTAGTTTATTTGGTTTAGTTATAAACGTAATGGAAGGGCATCAATATAAAAGATATCTCGGCAAATGTCAAAAACGTTACAGTTACAAAGTTTTAAATGACATTTATTGAATAGTAATATATATACATATAGATATCAGATAACATACATTTTTGTTGGGTTTTTTCTAAAAATATTTAGTCTATAAGTGAGTGTTTCGATTTTCTATTTTTCAGAACGCTTAAGCCTATTCAGGTGAGTAACTATATGCGAGAATACGCTGTTAGAAATTTCTCGGAAAAAATGGTTAAATAACAATTTATTGGATGGTTATTTTACCACATTTAATCAAAACAGTCAAATAACCATAAATAAAATAGTCATCGAATTGTCTAGTTTGGTTTATTAACTGCTTTCACCTAATACGGTTAAACAACCAGAATTTTATCGCGCCAACTAGAACCACTTAATGAATCTACTTAGTTCTTTGCAACTGCGTGCATATGACAGCCGAGAGGGCTTATCTGTCAATCTCATGACCGGCAGAACTGATGTTCGAGTCCTAGTGTTGACACCACAATATTTCGTCCATCCCCTTCAACACATTAAGATTTGCCAGTGTCCGGCACTCCCAATGCCCATTACCTTACGAAAAGCCGAGCTCCTATGTTTAGTTAAATAATATATATATTTTTTTACGTTTTCGAAAAATGCTAGTTGCAAATGGTTAAAAAACCGTATAGTTTTGTATTCATGGTTTTATAACCTTAATTTTTTTAAATGGTTTTAAAACCATAATAGAAAAAAATGTTCTTTACCGTAAACTTTACGGTTAATCGAACGGACAGACAGCTGCCTGTTATTTTACCATAATTTTAGAATTAAAATTTTAACAGTGTAGTGCTATTCAATTCAGAAAAATCTATTTATTTGATGAAGACTACTAAGTCAAAATGAAAAGTAAATTAATTAATTACTGCATCTACGAACCAAACCATAAAAATAAGCATTCTTTTTATCAATATAAGAAAGAATGGAAAATTGCAAGGGGAATAAAAATCCTGGTAAAATTACTGTTTGGTAATGACATTTCTAGCAAAAAAACAACATGATTTTGGTAATACAATATTTTGGTTTTATTTACCAAAATTAGTTTTTCTTATCAGAAATGTCTTAATTATACAGCACGGTAAATGTACCAAAAATGCTTTCCCCTTGTACGTTATAAAGAAAAGTGAGGTTGGTATAAATCCAAATACAAATAGCAATGTACAAAATTAAAAAGAAAAACATTTTTAGAGAAAAAGAAGCTTAAAAAAAATTCTGTTGAAACATATAGTTTTATTTTTTTATTTGGCTTTGTCTAGACATTTTGATTCTAGATCAAAAAGAAATTTGCTGCAATAAACTGCAGGTGTTTTTTAAAAGTATATTTTGAAATATCATGTATGATAATAAATGGAATCAACGCAGAAAAAAATACAGACAAATCACTTCGAAATTTGATTTCAATAATAAAGCCTGAACTTCTTTCTAGTTACAAAAATCTCCTAAAAACTGAGAGAATACTTTTTTAAATGTTATCAGACATAAAATAAAATACAAAAACGCAAGATTTTTTTTTTGGTACAAACGGAGAAAAAGTCACAATTTTGTTAAGATAAAATTCTAGTAAAATATCAAGGCAACAAAGTGTTTTTCGAAAACAAAGTCCGCTTTTTGACATTTCATTGTTTCGGAAACATTTATTTCACGTTATCGTATATTCGAATTGCTTTTTCTCATGAACATTTTGTTATAGACGATGCTTCCCTCGGTGATGATTTTATTTTTTAAAAGACCCAATCCAAAGAAACAGCTTGCTGTCGCTAAATCCTTTTATAAAGACATTTTGAAATGTTTCTTCACGCAAAAACTATTCTTTTAGATTGTATAAAAATCTACTAAACATTCTCAAAACTGACTATTGAAGTTTTGAAAAACATGTTATTCTATCTTTATATTTAATCAGAAGTGATTTGCTTAATTAAGAACAATAAACATTATTATCTTATTTTTGCAACAAATATGAATTTTAAATAATAGATAAATAAGAATTAAAATAAAAAAATAAATGACCTTGCATTTAAATTTTCTAAATAGAAATTAAACAATAACCAAATAATTATTATTCACGCAATAAATCCCACATTTTGAAATATCCGTATCAAATTACGGTATAAAATACCAGAACACTTAGTGTTGTACTACTTGTGTAAAATCCATTTTCCCGTAAAATCCATTTATACCATTAAATAGTACCATAATTTTTCTTTTAATATTTATTTAACTAGAGTTATTCAATTATTTTACGGTAATTATTACTGTTTAAAATCACCGTATGTTTGAATTTTCGTTCAGTAACATATTCCGATAAAATCTAATTTTAACTTTTTACCGTAATTTGATTCAGAATTTCTTCCTACAGTGCAGGCTACAAGGTCGATCTAATAAAGGCCTAATACATTTCATAACATTAATAATTAAATATGTATTTCATTTTTTTTTTCATTTCTAAGTTTATTTACCTTATCGTATTTTGATAGAAATTATTCATTCTAATAACAGTCATTTTTCTTAAATTGCCAAATTGATTTACATAAATACTTGACATCTTTGTGATCCAAGAATAATATGTTGAAGTATTTGTAGTAAAAACAAACGTGTTTAATTTCTTATCATCAATTCATTTTAAACTTCTAAAGCTTAGTTTGGAGTACGAATGCAGCATTGGTAAACTCAGCCAAATCATGAAGTCTTTGTTCTTTCTTGGAAAAATAATTTATAATATGCTGTAAGTCGAGGATTTCAAATTGGGAAGAGAATTATGTTGGTGCTTAGAAATTCTTTCTTTGACACTTCATAATATATGAACAAAGTTTGAGTTTTCATAGTTTAGTTTTTATAAAATCCTTTATCTATTCTAAGGAGAAAAAAAACACTACTGCTTCTTAATGGAGTCTTTGGAAGATCGTTCAAAGAAAATTATATAGTATGCCAACTGCCTTAGCTCTCTGAACAACAGCGTTATTTATTACTTTTTCAAACTAATAAGGGCCAACACCTGATTTATAATTTTAACGAAAAGTATTTTTACTAAAGGTAAATAATTATCATTAAACGATTAGAAGCAACTTTATTTTGTAATTTTTGGACAGGAAATTTATTTATTTTGTAAATTTATTTCGTAAATATAAAGATTATGATAATTGAAAAATGTGTCAATATATTTTGATTTTATACAAACAGAAAACAATTCAATAAATAACTAAAAAAGAGCAATTCAATAAACAACTTAAAGAAACTCTCTCAATAAGCATCGTGGAAATATTAATGCAAATATTGAAAGGTTTGTAATTTTTCACTGAGATGTGCATTATTTCAAAAATTAAAAGGAAAATATATACCGATATATATATATATAACAATGGAGCATCGTTTATACGACGCTGAAGGGACAACACCGAAAAACGTCGTATAAGCGATAACGTCGTATAATCGATTTCAACTTCCAAAACTAGAAACTAACTCTGTTTACAGTTAATTTTAATGTTTAATGCGTTGATTTACATAAATTTATAAATTGGACAAAGCGAAACAAACAGATAACCATAGAAAAAAAAGAAGAAAAATTATAGTAAGCAATTTGAATTTACATTACCTTTATTTATTTGATAATCCAATTTTTTTTTTACTTTAATCATTTCCCGTTAAGTTTACAGAAAAAATTATCTACGGTTGTTTGATGTGATGATTGACGTTGAGCTTTAATTAATGACCTGTGCAATGAATCAAGGTCCTGAAAAAATTTATCGCTGGTATTGTGGTAAAGAAAATAAGTTCTTAGTGTTTCAATGGAATTCATTGCATCTTGAAAAGTAGGTGGAACAATTTGTTGACATTCCACGTCATCCTCGCTGTCACTATGTGGCTCTGACTGTGTGTTCTGTATAAGCTCATCAACAGTGAAAATCGCTGACGTTACTACATCTTCATCGCAATCCATGTATTCATCAAAAGTTGCCTCTGCTGCGAGCAAGTTCCAATCATCCTCATAGATTATTGTATCATCATCTCTTACGTCCTCTCCCCCAGTATATTCGGTTGTTCGATGGACAAATCCGGCTTTTTTAAAACAGTTCTTTATAGTTGTGGTTGTTGCCTGAGACCGTGCCAACGAAATCATATTCATTGCCTGGAGAACAGTTATTTTCTTGGGATTAGGCTCTGCAATGCTTTGAATAGCGAGTTGAATTAACTGCTTTCTATACTGCAATTTTAGATTCATAATCACGCCCAAATGTAATGGCTGAAGCACACTTGTGCAGTTTGCAGGAAAAAAGTGAACTTTGACATTTTCCAAGAATGTTTTATCGGCAATTTAGCAAATTTCTTCGTTTTTGACTCTCCATAGCATTGTCTAGCTTTTTCAGCCATTTAGTAAAAATTGCGGTCGTCATCCAAGCATTCTTATTTGCATCATAATCCAGCATATATATATATTAGAAAGAAATATTATATATATAAAATATATTAGATTGTTGGATACTTAGTTTCGTAGTTTTAAGTAATATGACAATAAATGAGGTAACAATAGAAAAAATCGTTTAAATCTGAAAACGTTACTAAGATTTCAAATAAAGTATTATATTTGAGAAAATATAAGCAAATTTACTAAAAAATGAAAAATATTAGTATTCCTTCTCAAAGCTCTTCTTTTTAACTTTCCTACACTTAATGGAAGGCCGTTTTGAATCACGAAAATTTTTAACTTTGAAATTTTATTCCGAAACTCAATTCTTCTTTTCAGTCAATTGATGGATTTTTACCCTCGTCTCTGTCATTAATTTTCCTTGTGTAAAGACTTTTTCAACTGCCGTCAGACCTCTTGAACATCATAATGCAGCTCCTTTCCCCCGAGCAAACCATAAAATGAATTGTTGGGTAGTTTCTTTTTTCTACTCCTCTTCTATTCCTAATGTATATTTTATGAATTTTATCCTATTTTTATCAGACCGACATAAAATTCTAATAACTAAAATATTATTACAGTGCTTTTTTTGTTGTTGCGAAATGAACTCGGGAAAGAAAAGTTAATAATACTGAAAACAATTAAGGTGCATTTCATTTATTAAATATGTTAGGATTTTTTTTTAATAATTTAATACAAGCTTGAGAACTTTTAATTCTTTGCAAACACTTTTGTTGCTCAATTTAAAAAATGTAAGAAATAATTTCCTCTCGTGAAAAGTTGTTTCATAGAAGAATTGAGATGCTCAAAAAGAAAATTTTTAAGGACTCCTTCTTAAAATCTTCGAAATGGTCCTCCATAATTGCTGAATAAAATATAACTAGTACAGCAGTCGAATTCTTTTTACAACAAAAGAATTTTAGCATAAAGCAAATCTATAAAATGAAAGAAAGAAAATTATAACTTTTCTTGTTCAGAATTAATATGCCTATTTCTTTAGATATTGATTTTTTTATTAAAAAGGAGCACAATAATTATAGTTACATAATCATTTATTTCTACATTATATATTAATAAAAAATCTAAATATATAATTAATTTTTTAATGGTAATACTTTATTCCACTTGCATGAATCGAATTGTATTTCTATCAAAAAATTTCGGAAGAAAAATAAATGATGAAACCAAGCATAGACTAAAAATTAAATCTATGACTTTAACAGTAATACGGATTAATCATTTCGTCCTTCATAAATATACATTATTTTTTGATAAGAGATGAATTTAAAATGTACGTAAGCTGCTTATCTCAGTAAGCACAATTGGAAAAAAACAGAACTAGAAAGAATAAGTTTTAAAAAATTAAAAAAAAAAATCAGATATGACATAAATGAAATGAGAATATTAAAGCACACTAATTTGAATTTAGAAACTCCTGGTAAATGGAATAATTTGTCCATAGCTTTTAATTTTGTTTTGTTTTTTGTTCAGCACTGAGCAGAGATTAGACATCGAGAATAAAATATCTGTAATTAAAGTATGTCTATATATTCTGAGTTGATAATAGTCATGCAAATAAGATGATGTTTTCTCATATTGATGTTCCAGACGTTTAGTTTATTTACTGCCACGATTTGCTTTAACAATAATTTTAAACTGGAATAAATATGTTTTTCATAAAAAGCATAAATTTTATTATTCAGATAGCATTTAAACTTCAAATTTAGAAATTTTTGCAATTTATAAACTTATTTTTAAGGATTTTAATCTATTTTAAATTCGGGTATAGATCTTTTCCATTGAAAATCACAAAATACATCTGAAAATATCAAAATATGTATATATTAGTTCTAACCATTTATTTTATTTTTAACTGATCAACTTAGACTTCTTAGTTAAATAAGAATAGTAATATATTTTAATATAGAAAAAAAATCTTTTTGTATATTTTGAAGCATTTTGATATTTATCCTATAACTTTGGTACACATATAGTTTTAAATATTTTATATACTAAATTAGTATCTTGGTATACTCCTTTTGATTTTAACCATAACCTGAAGAGCCAGTGTAAATAATGGATACTGAAATATCGATAAACTCTCTTCGTTTTTGATGGAACCATTTTGTAGAATATGATACAAGCAAAAATTTTGCTTAAGTGAAGAAATAGCTATCGTCACTGCTTCAATTTTGTAAGGAAACAAATTTAGTAAAAATTAATGAAATAATTCGTTATTCAATCCCCATGAAAAAGTCTCGTAGTTCCTAATGCATCTATATTTTCTAACTATCACTTTAACGCAGGACCCATATATGTGGCACTATACACAAGGACATAGAAAACAAATAGAGATAAATTAGATCCATCTCGAAAACAAGATTTGAGCCCCTTTTTATCAGGGTACGGGCAAACTCCTTGACCACCATGAAACCCACTCAGCTTAATTCGTCACTTCATTTTCGACTGTCTAGCTTTCATTCTACCATTCTGTCATTTAATTTAACAATCTCCCACAATGCACTACGATGTGGTTTCGAGTTGAGGAAACATTTTCGTCATATATTTAAGAGTTCGTGTTTAGTCACGAATCACATTATTTCATGGTGATAAGATTTTCAAAATTACAGAAATAATTAAAGAAATTACTTAAGCATTATCTTACAAAATAGAGGGACTCGTATACAAAATATTTCATTCACGAAAAAAAAAGTTTTAAATTGATCAAAAAACCAAACAGTTACGAATGAAATCATTAATACTTTATTTCATTTAGTAAAAGCAGTTTTGCATAAAACAAAAATGACAGCAGACATTATGAATTGATTTATATTTAGAAAGAAGTTTCTCCTTTTTTAAGAAAAAAATATTTAATAACTATACTTTATTCATCTTATGATGTTTTAAACACCCGTCGACACCGATAAATGTTTCGAAAATAACATAAAAAAAAGTAGGAAAACTTTGGAAATATTATGTAACTAAACATTACAGCTAATAGCTGAGTGAAAAAGGTCAAAAGGTCATTAGACATGAAGCTTATTGGAGATATTTCTTCTTTCATCTCAATTATTGATCATCGGCTAAAGTTCTGAGAGAAATGATGAAGAAAACCCCATCACTTGTAGTAGAAAGCTAATGGATCGGCTGGATAGGTTAGAAGTTTGATAAAAGTATTTTTAAAAAAAATGAGGAGAGAATCCTATTAGAAGAAAAAGCAAAATGGCATAATAAAAAATAACGAGTAAAAACTAATTCTTATGGAGCTAAGTAGAAAATGAAGATTACTTTATTTTAAGCCTCTTATTTACTTTTTATCTTGATCCAATACCCGTAATTGGACAAAACTTCGATATCAACAATTATCGGTATTTAACTCATATTATTGATTTTGATATTTTGTACGAATGATTTTTAAAATAAATTATACTTTTGATGATTGATGAAAGCTTGAATCGGTCATTAGGCTGTTGAAAGTAGCATAATATTAAGCACAAAATACTAAATTTTTGCTCCTCAATAAGGTATATTAATAGATGGAAAAAAATTGAGATAGAAAATTTGTTTTATATTAATTAACCATTAAAGAAATTTAAGATATTTTTGAGGTTTATTTGCGGTTGTTTTAAAGTGTCTAAGTTGATCTGAAGTTTTCTCGAAGCTGGTTTAAAACACGATCCTAAAAGGTTAACCTGACATGGTGTATAGTCGAAGTGGAGGAAGTTGTTTTATTCACATTTGAGGTTGTTTAGTTGTTGATGGAAAACTTCCTTAAAGCAATCAGCTTAGGGAGGATGTATTTGAGGTGTACGGATTATTTTCGCTACACTTCGCGAACTTACGTGTATTTGAGGTGTAAACAATTTCACCCGATCTAAACCAAAATTATTTCTTATTTATATTCAAAGGTTAATTTAGTAATGTGTAATTGGGGCAGAAATTGAGGTTTACTAATGAGGCTATTTTTGGTGCAAAACATAACCTCATTTTCTACCTTAGGTGTATTTTTTTGCATCTTTCAATCGCAAAACAGCCTCAAAAATACCTTTTTTTTTAATGGAATTCAATTTATGTATTTGATATTGGATAAGTTTAAGGACTGAAGAATTATTTAATATTTATTTTATAAGCATAAATTAAAGTAAATTAACACAATTCGAAGCTACCTATATTCACTTTTATTCATTGAAATATTTGAACAATTATTATTTTTTGTTATGGTTAATAAAATTTTAAATAGTATTATTGCTGAAAATAACGATTATTATTAAGTAGTAAGCCCCAGAAAAACATGTAAAAAACACATTGTTCGCAAACATAAATGAACAGAAAATGCGTATGTTTATTTTCACAACAATTTTGCATCAAATGCAATAATTACCTAAAACACGCCATCTACCTATTGATATTACAAAAAAAAACTCTTCCAGAGAACGGTCGCTAAGTTAAAAGTAACTTAAAATTAAAAAAAGTACAAAGCCGTTGTAACATTTTTACAATTTAGAAGTTATTTTTATAATTCGAATACATTTTTGTTAAGCTTGGTGACAACTACGTCTCACACTCACTGTAACTCACTTGTTACTGGTAACTCACACTTTCTCACCAGAATTGTGTGGTCAAGCACCATATTTGGCATCGAAACATTAAGCGAGAAGCAACACAAATCTTGATTTCTTTTCTCTCAGCGAACAATACTGATAGTGAGCAATGTAAGCTATGAAAATAAGCTCCATTCATCCTAGTGTTCTGATTTGACATATACTTTTACTAAACCATTGTTTGTCTGATAAGAGGTTTACTCAAAATATGAAAAT